AATTGAGTTGGTTTTTCATGGGTTTGGGGGCTTCTGGATAATGCCTCCCACTCCCATCCAGCTAATGGATAGGATTTCAAGTTCAGGCGGTGCAAGATTGAACTCTCATTACTGACCAGAGAGGCTTCATTCATAACATTGCAGGCAGACAGGGAGAGGCAGATGGCTTTGAATACAGGATTTACATAGTAATGAGACTCAGGTCACCATAGCTGTCTTCTTTTTCTCTCTACATTTTTGTCTGGGTGCAGGCCAGTGTGTGGGGAAGGAAGGGAGGGGAGTATAGATGATAGATCTAGAAAATTAACCCTTTGCCATTGCTCCTGAGGGATCTCATGATATTGGGATAAGAAAGTTTGAAGTGACGTGCAGACTAATGTAAAGCAATAGTGGATCTACAAGCTGGTAGCAATCACAGAATAAATTAGGAGTGCTGAAGAGGGCTGATTTTTAACTCAGGCTTTTAGCATATTCTGTGTAGGGGTATCAGAGACATTTCAGGCTTAAAATTCCCGAATTTTCCTCAATGCTTAGATTCTGGGGTGCTGAGTTTGGGGATGAACAATTTTGTTTTCATCACTGCAAGTCAGTTCAGTGTTGAAGGGGATTTTGTGTTGGGAATTGTGTGTGGGTTATCATTACTGTGTGTTTGCTAGTTTATTAAATGAAGAATGCTCCACCCATTTTGCTCAGTTGCTTGCTGAAGATGCATCTCTACGTGAAGAAGCAATACCTTGAGTTTTCAACTGCAGCTGAGAATTTTGAGTCTCCTGGGGGTATGTCAGTGAAAAATGGCATAGTCCCAGAGACAACCCAGTGGTTGGGGGAGGAGGCTGAAAGTCATGGGTTTTATTTCTGAGTCTAACATGGGCAGAGAGGCACTTGCTGTGTTGAGTATTGCCAACCTCAAACATTCTGAAACCATGAGTCAGACCCCCAGAAACTGGGACTGGTTTTAAAATCATGAAGCTTTAAAAACAATACTTTTCGGATTCTCTTTATTTGCCTTTTGCTTTTCAAGGCCTTATGGCTTATCTATATGGCACATCTACACAAGTTGTTTTACTGCACCTACTAATCGAATGTGTAGTAAAGTGCCACCATCTACACATGCATAGCAATTACTGTGCAGTAGGTTAGTCTGATGCGTCATTTTCTAGTGCCTGTAGATACAGGTACTAGAAATCGATTTATTAACCTAATGCGCCAAAGTGCATGTGTAGAGCACTTTTACATGTGCACTGGGGGTAGGAGGGGATGCTTTAAATTAAAGCACCACAGCCACTCGAATTGAAGTGCCACTGCCTCTTGTGTATTAGCATCCCTGTGCTTTAAAATGATGGCAGGGCCACTTGAACTGAAGCTTGTTTGAGCTTTAGTTCAAGCACCCCTGCTGCCATTGTGAAGTGCAGGGACACTAATACAGAAGACCCCAAGGATGGCTGGAGCACAGTAATTACCACATTCCAGCAGACTTGATTAATCGAGTCTGCTCCAATGCACTGTAATTACAGTGCATTGGAGCAGCCCTGCAGCACATCTACAGGCACCTATAGATGCTGACCAGGAGCAAATTGCTCTAAGCCAGCCTAGGGAGCAGAGGGTCACAGGGGGCAAGGAGAGCTGTCCCAGCTCCACAGGATGTTGTCTTCTAGCCATGTGGAGATCAGAACAGGTTGCCCCACCCTCCAGAGCTGGGGGCTGACAGCCCAGGGCTGGCATTCAGAGGAGCCTGGAGCTCCCCCTGCCTGCTGCAGGGGGACAGAGCAGGGCAGGAGCACCCCTGGACTGGGCTGCTCCTTTGGGGCTCAGTTTGCTCTTGACCAGGGTGCACATGTAGACATCACTGGGAAGCATTTTAATAAGCCTGAATTTTCTGCACAAAAAAATGTAGGCACATGAATTGCATGTGTAGATGCACCCCATGAGTTTTTTACTGGGGCTATGTGGCCTGGAAATGTCCTCTTTAAAAAAAACTAACGAATGCTGAAATTCTGACACAATCTCCATATTCCTGGAGCTAGAACCTTAGGAAAGCATCAAATGTTAATGAGGCCATGGAAGAATTGCAAGAAATATAAGAAGATCAGGCAGGGTGTCTGTGCCTCAGTTTCCAACTGCAAAAGGATGCAATTATTAACAAACAATACATATTGTCTTTGTTGGGGTGCTATAAGAATGGATCTCTCAGTTCTTGAAAAGTGCTCTGAAGTTCTTAGATGAATGTTGCCATTAAAATACAAAGCAGCTGAGGAGTCCATGGGTCTTTGGAAGCTCAGTCTAAGAGGTGTGGGCTTTTGTTTTAGTTCTCTAATGCTAGAATTTTCTGTATTAAAAAAGAAAAGCTTTGGACCAGTTGCATCTGCTGGAGGTGACCTGAATAGATTAAAACTTTGCAGATAAAGGCAAGATATAGCTTCTCTTTGTGAGCACTTAAGTTAATTGTGAAATACTGTATTAAATCCTCTCAGAAATAAAAGATTTTAACCCCTTCCCCCTTTTCCATTTTCACAGGCCCTCTAATGCTGGAGTATGCTACATGGGTGTGTGTTCAGCCTCACCTGGCATTGGTTGAAGCAAACAGTAGAGATATATTGGAATAGATAGAAGCCGGGGGGCGGTGCCAAGCTGTTTCTCTGTTTTACATTGTGCTCATCCATGAACGACTGGTGCCTTCCAAGACAGGGGCAGGGCGGGGGGCACCATGGTGGTGAGTGGCGAGTGGGGACTGCCTGCAGGCGGTGGATGGGAGAGGCAGGAGTGGCGAGCAGCGACCACTCACAGACGCCACCAGCCACGTCGGTAGTGGCTTGTGAGCAGCGACCGCTTATAGAAGCTGGTAGCAGCTTCAGTGGTGGCCAAACTTGGGGTGGGGGGGCACATGCCCCTCCGTGCCCCTCTTATGTGTTGCCTATGTGCTCATCTATATAAAAAAGTAAAAAATATGTTTATACCTTACAGGACTACCATATTTACTCAAATACAAGATGACCCTAAATGTAAGAAGACCCATAATAATTAGATTCTGCACACAGAAAATTTGTAAAGTTATTATAGTTTTCCAGGTGTGGAAGATTAATTATTGGAAGATCATATTAAATTCATCCCTCCTCCCATTACTGCAGGAGCTGTGGGGAGAGGTGATGAGAGGGGCAACAATGGGGTAAGGTGGTGGGGGACAAATAATGGTGGAGGCGGTAGGGAGAAGGCAGATGGGAGGAAGAAATGGGTCAGGCAATGATAGTGGCAGGCAGCTTGTCCCCCTCCCCGACTTACTCCTCATTGTGCCTGCCCTCCCTCTTGCAGCCTTGGGCTGCCCTGATTCCCTTTCCCCTGTTCCCCACTCCTCCCCTCTCCATACCACTTCTGCCACTTGCAGCCTCAGGTCCCTGTCCCCCTTCCTCCCATCTCCATCCCACCCAAAGTTTCTCCCCCCTGCTTGCCCTCAACCCCTTGTCCCCTCTTACCTTTCCTCTGCACCAAGAGGCTCCATCCCTGCTGCAGCCCAGGGCACAGAGCATGGCTCCAGCCTGGCCCCATAGCAGTGGTGTGGAGCAGGCACTGTTGTTCCAGCCTGGTCCCATAGCAGGAGCAGTGGGGAGCCAGCACTGCTGCTACAGGGCCAGGCAGGAATAACAGTGCCGGCTCCATGCCACTGCTGCAGCAGGGATGGAGCCTGTTGGCACCGCGCAAAGGTAAAGAGGAGTGCAGCAGAGGGGGACAGAGAGGGAGAAGCAGTGTTGGGGGAGAGACTGGGGGTTGCAGGGGAGGAGTGGCAGAGCATTCAGAGGCAGTGTGGGGTGGCAGGCAGCAACTGTGGCTCTGGCTCAAACTCCAGCCCCAACCCCAGGCTGCCCCCCTCATCACCTCTTCTCCCACTACCCTGTACTCCAGATACCCCCACAAAGGATCCATGTACTAATTAGCTCCCACTCATGACTGGAAGCAGGCGTTCTTGTCACAAGTCCTGGGATGCTTCAAAAATGTATATGTAGATGAGGCACAGGGCGACCTGTTCTGGCTTCACCTTATAGAGGGCAGGGCCACACTATTCATATGTGTCAGAGAGGGGGCCACAGGGATTTTGGCTGAACTATATGCAATTTTGTGACTTACCATGATTTGGAAAAGAGTTGGTGGTGAGGGGGACTGCTCTTAATGGGCACTACCATATGTCTTATTCAGATGAGCTACACTAACCTGTTCTTATAGTAGGTTCCCATCAGCATGTTTGCCCAATGTATGGACCATGTGTTTTATAGTAGTGCTTAGTGTTGGCTGCATTTAATCAACTTCATAGTTGGTTTCCATTGCTGAGCACTTGCTGCTTTTATCAGCAGTTGAATGATAGCCAATGTATTTAGTGAGATGTTGTATGCGATTATAAGATGAGGGGCTTTTTCCCCATGCCAGTTGCAAGTGGGGGGGGAACCTTGTCTGGTATACAAGTAAATGTGGTATGAATGTTTATAAAGCAGTTCAAGTTCTGTGAATGAAGGCAACTAGGACACTGGAGATGAGGCATCAGGAAACTTGGTTCTATTTTTAGCTGTTTGAGACCATCAAATTATTTCTCCTCATTTGGGGCTCAGTTTCTCCCTTCTGCAAAGTGGAAATAATGAAAGTTCTGTCCTTTGTAAAGAGTTCTAAAATCCATAGACGAAATGTTGATGAACAGTGAAATGTTAAGACTCAATAGTATTACCATAATTCGACTAAGTTTTGTTCCAGGAGTACCCTGTAAAGGCAGTGCCTTTATATATGCCAAGTGGGTTCGTTAATAGATACTTTGCTAGTACCAGATGGAGTGCTAGAATATGTTGCATAGTTCTTGGGTTTTGTTAGACCAGCTAACTTGTTGTTCACAGTATATCACCACTTTTGGGCAACTGAGTACTGCATATGGTTTGTTGGGTATAACTGTTTTACATGGATCTCAACAAATGGCAAGTGTGTGTTTAACAATGGTGACATTTTTTTTCTATCTTTTACTTTTGCAGAGCCCCTGAAATCATCCTTGGTTTACCATTCTGTGAAGCAATTGATATGTGGTCACTGGGATGTGTCATTGCAGAGTTGTTCTTGGGCTGGCCTTTATACCCAGGAGCTTCAGAGTATGATCAGGTTGGTATGGATGCTGAAGGTGAAGTAGCTAATGATCAAAGTACAGTGGATTTTTTTTCCTTCTTGTATAAGAAATAATGAACAGACTGTTACCTTGGTATTCTTTTGCTGGCAGAAGGTATTTGTATTTGTTTTTTATTATTCTAAAACAACCTTTTCCTTATCCACCTGTAATATTCTAGGTAACCAATAAGATTCTTAGTACTGTGCCTTTAAGGACTGACTGTCTAAGTGAACTGCCAATCAAAAGTATAAATTCCTGTTGATTAGAAAGCTCTGTAGATGATCTCTAATCACTGAACAAAGCAACATCCTTACTCCACTGTAACAGCAAGTATTAAATAAGGGTTTATTTGATATATTATAAGAAATTGTGTGAACTCTACTGCTTTCCATAATCCCCCTTATGAAGACATATATTAAAAGGAATGACAAGGAAGAGAATTCGCATAGCAATGTAGATCTTCATATCTTCATTCGCATAGCCTTTTATGTTCCTCTTATATCTATAACAAATGATGCAGCAGCTTTGACAGGTCAGACTGCATAACAGTTTCAGTTCTAATCACCTCTTTCAGTTGTTCATGACTTTCTGCAACTGTAGGCTTGAGTTCTGAAAGAGGTCTTTTTGCAGGAAGTGCAAAAAAAAAGGACAGTAGGGCAAAATATATATGTATTTTTTTCCCATTATGAAAATGTTCCTGACACTTCCTTTTTTTTAATAGTTTTTTTAGCCAATGCTTTAAAGGTAAAATTTGGCATGGAAATAGCCTTCAGCAAAATGTAGTGCCATTAGCTGTTCCAGAGGAAATCAGTTTTGAGCTGACAAACGAACGAGCCTTTGAAAAATCACATACCGAGCCTGAAGCGTAGCTTCCCCCATTCCAGACCTCATAAAGTGCACAGCTGAGAAAGAAATCATTGTACATACAAGCACAGCTAACTTCACTTCACAGTGAGAAACTCTGCTCTAGTCAAGTTTATGGAGAGCTTCTGTGGAGCTGAGAGATCAGCAGGAGCCGAATTTGAGCCTCTGCCTCCAACTCTATAGGCTTGTTATATTGGGAGTGGGTTGAAGAACAGCTCTTGACGTTTCTAAGGAGTGCAGGAGGGACCCTCTCCCTGATGCACTTAAAAAACTCGAAAGACAGGATAGGTGCTTTGAACAAGGCAGGACTGGCAGTGATTTGATGTCCTGGCAGCTTCAGCTTATACTTATTTTTGTCCCCTCCATCTTTGCATTTCAGAAATACTTGTTACTTTTCTTAAGAATTTCCTATGACAGAAGAATATTGAGTTTTTAAAGTGAAGCATTCAGAAGTCAGGAAAGGCCAAAGTTAAAATTTCATGTGCCAGCCTATCTGTGCATTAATATCAGTCTTTAATTACGTAATCGCATACCTTTTTTTTTTTCAGTAAATAACTGCAAGCTCTTAAAAAAGAGACGTAGCCTCTTGTAGGCCTGGGTATACCATTGAGACAGTCTGTGAAAGTTAGTGGCAGGACAAGTGCAGTAAACCATATGGAAACTGCAAATTAAATATATGTCAAAGTGATGGTATAAATTTGCCTGAATATACAGGCCACCTATGTTCACAGATACTGGCTTCATAGTTATCTGCCCTATCCTCTGAATTGCTCATGAGAAAGTCTGCATTGCCCATTGGAAGAAGAGTGCAAGTATCAAATTATTGATATGGTAAACCTCAGAGAAGAGAATTTTTCATAAAAATCAATGAAAGCTTTCTATTTAAATCCGTGAATATTCTTTAACCTCTAATGTCTACATGCACTTCATTCCTTCTTATCCATAGGCTTAAAAGAGAAAGGAAGAATATTGTATAGATTTTAAGGGGAAATGCCCATAGACATTAATGATAAAGGGAGGAAGTCTGTTAAGGTGTATGAGAATTCTCTTGCTTATTGTTCCTGTTAGTGTGTCCTCACTAAAGATTAGTGGTATACGTTTTTCTCTTTCTTGCTTTGTTCCATTGTTTTATATACCTCCTGTCCTCCCAAGAGGAAAACCACCAGAAATTGTCACAGGTTGAACAGTGACCCCTCATCCTTCTCTTACAGATTCGCTATATTTCACAGACACAGGGGTTACCAGCAGAGTATTTGCTAAGCGCAGGGACAAAGACTACAAGATTTTTCAACAGGGATACAGATTCACCGTATCCTTTGTGGAGGCTGAAGGTAGGAAGATGTTTCCTTCATCTTGCAACAGTAGGTTGGAAATAAAGTGACATCCTGTTGAATTCAGGGCCCAGATCTCATCTCTCTGCAATGCATAGACACACCTCCCATAACTGAGCTATTGGTGGGGAGTGGGGTACAGGCTGAGATAAGACTACCGTAACAGAATTATGCAAACTTTGGCTGGCTTGAATGTTTTATAGTTAGTTCTTGGTATTGCCAAGATACTGCAGACCTTGGTGCTGCTTTGGTACTGCAGACTCAATTAATCGAATCTGGTGAAGCATGCTAATTAGCACACTCCAGTGGCCTCAGCATCTCATGTATTTAGCTTCCCCATGCTTCAGAATGCTGGCAGGGGTGTTTTTCATTGAAGCCTGTTGGACAAACTTTAGTTAAAGTGCCCCTACCGCCATTTTGAAGTACAGGACACTGAATACACCAGACACTATAGGCGCTTTAATTAGAGCTGTTCTCAGAGCTGCAATAATTAAAGTGTCCCCCTCCGCCCATCCTTGGAGCACGTGTAAAGACGCCCTTTAAGTCCTACTCCACTGGGAGCAGTTCAGGCTTGAATTGTGTATGGGGGACTTTTAAAATTTGGTTTAGAGAGAGAAATATCCTGTTATTCTGGGATTGTCATTTGTATCTTTGCTCTTTGTAGCTGAGATTTATGGCTGATGAAGTGAAGCTTAATTTACGTAAAATCTGCCTCTGGATGGGTTTTATTTCTGTTTAGTTAAACATGCTTTCATCTGAACCAGTTAAATACCAGATTTGCTCAAATCCAAGATGGGGATCCGCCCCCCATTGAACATGAGGAATAAAGCCCCTCATCTTGGATTTGAGTATGTGGTGGTGGTGGTGGGGAAGGCAGCTGCTGCAACTCCAGGGTCGGGGCCAGAGCCATAGCTGCTGCCTGTCCCCCAGTTGCTCTGCCCCTATTGTACTTCCCTGTGCTCCCCTGCCTCCCTGCAGCCTTAAGCCCTTACCACCTCTTCCCTCTTAGGAAGAAGATCAGGTAGATAAAGACTACCTTGCTCCACCTCCTCCCCTTCTCCACCCCATTCCCCTGTCTGCAGCTCCCACAGTCAATACCAGTCTGACGTGGGGAAAAAAATTATTTCATGCCCCCAAATTTGGCAATAGGTTGAATTCTGTGCATCTGAGATGTTAGTACCTTAATAGAACTGGTACACCTAGGCTAAACTCCCACCTCTAGCATTGGCCAATGCCCAGTGCTTTAGAGGAAATCTTGTAATGTTCTCATGAAAGGAAAAAAAACAACCTTGTTAGCCCCATACAGGTAACTAACAGAAACCTCCAAGCCTGGGACCTCAGATACCTCCATCCAGATACTGAGTTTCCTTTCAATCCCTATATGGAGATACCAAGTTCTCAGAATCACATATGACACTCAGATTGCTATACCTAGAACATGCCTTTCCTGTTATACTATCTCTTCTGTAAACCTGTTGCGCTTCATCATGAAGCAATTTCCATTCTTTGCTCTCATTTTTTTTTCAGAAGACCAATCCATAACTTCAATGCTGTAATGGTTAAAACCCTTTTTCTGATATGCATTTTCATTTTTTTAGTCATTGTTTCGACCATTTTGTATGCATTTGATCTTGTGCCGTTAATCTTTTTTAACTTAGTGTTTCACTCTCAGTGATTTTCATCCTGTGAATAGATTTATAAAGAGTAATCATCCTCTCTTAAACCTCATTTTGCCAAGCTAATCTAGCCAAACTCTTTTAGTCTTCTTTCATGAGATAGACTCTGCAATCCACTAACCCTCCTAACAACCCTTCTCTATACCTGTTCAAGTTTAAATTAATTTTTTGAAGAGAGACAATCAAAATCCTACACATTATTCTAAATGTTATCTTACCAGTGCCTAATATGTCCCTGTCTTTACTAGATGTACCTTTCAGGCCACACCAACATCAGGTATTAGCTTTTTTCATGGCTTCATCACATTGATAATATATGGTCATCCTATAATCGGTCAATATAACTATGTCCTTCTCTCCTGCCTCCAGTAAATGAATTCCCATCTAGTAGTGCAAGTTCTCAGTGTTGTCCCTTATACTATTAAATTTCAGACCATTTCTACTGCTCCACTCAACAAGGTTATCTATTTCATAGATTTCATAGACATTAGGGCTGGAAGAGACCTCATGACATCATCGGGTCCAGCCCCCTGCCCAAGGGGCAGGAAGTCAGCTGGGGTCAGATTACCCCAGGAAGATAAGCATCCAACCATTTCTTAAAGGTATCTATAGTTTCATAGTTGGTAGGGTTGGAAGAGACCTGAGCAGATCATCAAGTCTGACCCCCTGCCATGGGCAGGAAAGGATGCTGGGGTCAAATGACCCCAGCAAGGTGTCTATCTAGCTTCCTTTTAAAGACCCCCAGAGTAGGAGCGAGCACCACTTCTCTTGGAAGTTGGTTCCAGATCCTAGCCGCCCTGACTGTGAAGTAGCGCCTCCTGATATCAAGCCTGAATCTACTCTCAGTCAACCTATGGCCGTTGTTCCTTGTTACCCCTGATAGTGCTCAGGGGAACAGGGACTCTCCCATTGCCTGCTGGTGCCCCTTGGCAAGTTTATAGGTGGCTACCAAATCCCCTCTCAGCCTTCTTTTGTGGAGGCTGAAGAGGTTCAGGTCCCTTAGCCTCTCCTCATAGGGCCTGCCCTGCTGACCCCTGATCATGCGAGTGGACCTCCTCTGGACCCTCTCCATGAAGTCTATATCCCTCCTGAAGTGTGGTGCCCAGAACTGGATGCAGTACTCCAACTGCGACCTGACCAATGTTGCATAGAGGGGGAGGATCACCTCCTTGGACCAGCTCGTGATGCATCTATGGATGCATGACAAGGTATGGTTAGCCTTCCTGACCGCGCCCCCACATTGGCGGTCCATGTTCATCTTGGAATCAGTAGTGACACCAAGATCCTTTTCTGCCTGTGCACTGACGAGAAGGGAGTTCCCCAGCCTGTAGGTATGCTGCTGGTTCTTCCTCCCCAGGTGCAACACCTTGCACTTGTCCGTATTGAAACCCATCCTATTCTCATCTGCCCACCTCTGTAACCTGTCTAGGTCTGATTGTAGCCTGTTCCTTCCTTCTGGCGTGCCCACATCCCCCCAGTTGACACCAGTCGCCTAATTTTTTAATGAGGATGGGTTGACAGACAGTGTCAAACGCCTTCCTAAAGTCCAAAAAGACTACGTCCTCCGTGTAGTGCTTGCACCACTTTTGGGGGGAGTCTATTCTAGACTCTGGAGACTCGGACAGTAAAGAAGTTTTTCCTTATGTCCAGTCTGAAATGGGATTCCAGCAGTTTGTGACCATTAGACCTTGCCTTTCCTTGGGGTGCCCTGGTGAACAGATGTTCTCCCAGTTGCTGATGCATGGGAGTGGAGCCCGATGCAAAGTGTGGAACCCAGAATTGGATGCAGTACTCCAGCTCCAGCTCCTATTTATTATTGTATAATCATCTAGTCCTTCTCTACATCAGCAATGACTTCCATTGTACTGCTGTCTACACATTTCATAAAGACATCTAGTTCTTGCACCAAACTCTCTAATGAAAATATTAAACAGGATGAGTTCCAAGACCAATCTCTGCATAATTGCTGTGCAGTTAGATAACTCACATTTCAAAGTAACCCATCTTAAGCTCCTTTTAGCAAACTCCTTAGCCAATCAGTGCCTGGTTTTCTCAACACAGAATCCTTTAACTTAACAAAGAATGGGGTCTTTGGGCTCTGAGGAGACTCCTGTGTAATTTCCTGGCTGACAGGATGTTGCATAGGTCTTACATATGGGAAAGGGTTCAGTAAGGAAAAGCAAAAATGGGGAAGGGTTCAGTAAGGCACCATAGGGATATAAGGCCTGTAGTGGAGGAGAGAAAGCATTCTGGGACACTTGGATATGAGATGAGCTATATAAGTATACCAGACACTGGCCCCCTTTACATGTACAGGTAAAGGTGTGATAGGATCTAATGTGCGATCCACACAATTGCATCTCTTGCCATGCCACATGTGCATGGTGGGATGCACAATAGTGGGATCATATATTCGTTTCCACTGCACCTTATTGCTGATGCAGGGGGGACCTGATCTTGGGCTCCCCCTGCACCACCAAGAAGCAAGCTGTGACAGGTGGAAGCCCCCTCAGCTGAAAGGCTCCCAGCCCCAGGGGTGTCCTATGCACACCCAGCCATGGGGGACTGCAGCAGCCACAATCTCCCACGCTTGGTGTGGGGTGGGGTGTGAAACCCCGAGGTCTGTGGGATTGTGGCAGCTGTGACTTCCCAGGCTTGGGGTGCGTGAAACCCCCACCGTCTCCCTGACCCAGGGGTTTCATGCTAAGTATGATGCAGCCCTGTGGCTGCTGATGTGGATTCTAGCCATAGGGGAGACCCTGCTACAAATTAAAGCTCAATAGCAACCAGCTAGAAGGTTAGTACACATTTTCAAGGACTAACTTTATAGCTGGTTGGAGCTTTTTATGGCATGATACTTACTTTGCATGTGTAGCTGGTCTTAAGGCAATTGCACAATTAATCAGGTAATTGCACAATAGTGTAACATGTAGAGGGGGGCCACCATGTTGTATATAGTGCTATTTATGTTACACAGTCAGGCAAGAGATATGGAACATTCTGTAAAAGGGTGCACAGTTTGGGCTGGCATATCACTTGGACTTAAATATGGGGCAGCTCTGCTAAACAGCTTTTTCCTGTCTTGAGCAGACACCAGATGATCATGAGGCAGAGACGGGGATTAAGTCGAAGGAAGCAAGGAAGTACATTTTCAACTGTTTGGATGATATGGCACAGGTAAAAATGTTGGTGAAAAACTAGCAAGAATGCTTCACATGCTTCTGGGCAAGGCAAACAAAGGAGAAACCCCTGAGAAAAACCAAGACTATACCTGTCCAGGTGGCTCCCAATTTTCATGTGCTGCTATGGGGCTGTGCACACAGGGTCAGGGTTAATGGTGAAAGAGATATAAGGTGGCACTGTCATTATGAGGCAAGGTCACAGGGCTGAGCTTCAAAAGGTTTAAATTCTGTTCTGGTTTCTGCCGCTGACTTTCTGTGTGACCTTGGATAAGTTACCTAACTTTTCTATGTCTCATTTTCCCAGCTTGTGGAATGGGGATGATTATAATGTGTACCCACTTTGTAAAGCATTTGCTTTCTGTGGAAGAAAAGTGCTGTTGCTGCTGCTGCTTAATACTATTATTTTCCTGTTTTGATAGTGGATTTGGTCAGGGTCTATTTAAGTTAACACCAACAAAAACTACCCATGGTATTTTTAATCCACAGAAATAGAGGTCTGGGATTAGGAAAGACTTGAATAAATTGATCAGATGAAATGAAGTTTCTTCCCAGCACTGATAGATAACTAGTAGGTTTATAGGAAACATTGCTGATATCTACTTTTTCGTGTCATGGGACACATAATTAAGTAGTCTAATTGTATAGTGCTTTATATGAGACATAATGATTGTCAGAGCTTGTCTGTTACTACACAGAAGCTGTTCATCTTCAGTGAAGGGTAACTAAGAGCTTCATTATCCATTGACCCAAATGAGCTAAATACATAACTGCCTGTCTAGAGACTTGGCTTGCACTAGCCAGATGACAATGACTGGCCACCTCAGTCTTCCTTGTGACCTTAGGCGCTACCCCACTAGAGATGGTAACATGCTGTAAAGATGCTTCAGCCAGGAAAGGATGTGATCTGTTGGAGACCTGGCCATCTGCTTTTTCTTTTAATTGTTGTGATTGTCCTTTCTCTTCCAGGTGAATATGACAACAGATTTGGAAGGAAGTGATATGTTGGTGGAAAAGGCAGACCGGCGCGAGTTTATAGATCTGTTAAAGAAGATGTTGACTATAGATGCAGATAAAAGAATAACACCGATTGAAACTCTGAACCACCCCTTTGTCACCATGACGCATTTGCTTGATTTTCCCCACAGCACACAGTATGCTTCCTGTTTTCTATCTTGTTTGGGGTGTTGGAGAGAAAAAAAAACCTACAGGATATGGGGGGCACTGGGTTGTGGCTAGGTAGATAGAAGGGCCTAGTAACAGTATTTAGAAGTTTAGGTGTAAAGATATTATTTTTGTTTTTAAAAGTGCTAAATCTAGCACAAATAAGAAACTTGTTGCAGTTACATGGCATTCCAAACTACTGCAGAACACACTATGTGTATTATAATATTCAATAATCGCATCCATCCAGACTAAAATGCGGAAAAAATATGTCCAGTTAATACTGGATCCATGAATTAGTGCATGTGGAAAACGAAGCAGAGTCCTCCATAGCTATTGCAGTGGTTCTCAACCTGATCCATAGTGGAAACCTCCCCTCTCCTATGTACCTGTGTCCTGCTTAGAGCCCTGGCTCAGAGGCTTCCACCATTTTAACTAGATGGAGAGGGTATTTTGGTTATGGCCCCTGATACCTGTTTGTTACTGGCTTGCTGAGACCCCAGTTTTAAAGTAAAGACCTGGTAACAAGAAATTTGAGTTCAATTCCTAGCTCTATACCCAGACTGCCAATGCAGTCTTGAGCAAATCACTTGAAGTTGTTTCTACATCTGTTGAATGGCATCCCAGCAATGTTATGAAACGTGGTTCACTAGGGCCTGACTCTCATTTACACTAAGGCCAGTGCCACAGAGCCCCGCTAGCCTAGCATGAGGGAAACCTGAGTTCAGTTCACTACTGTGGTATAGACATCCACATGACCTTGATCAAGTTACTTAGGACCATATTTTCTAAAGGTGTGGAGGTTCCTACAAATGCAGATAAGCTTGCAGAGAGATTTTCTGAAGCAAAAAATACTTACTTCCAATTGATTTCAATGGGAGTTCAGTATCTAGTCCTCAAAGCCCCACAGAAAACCTGTTTGCATCCTTAGGCAGCAGCATATACTTAGGCAGCAGCAATCTGGCCATTTGTTTCTCTGCACCTCATTTCCCATCGGTAAAATGGGCATACTAGTATCATCCTGTCTTAGAGGGGTGCAGTGAGAATAAATACCTTAAAGACTGTGAAGCAGTCTGTAATTAAGGAGGCCATATATGCACAGGGTCTGATTTAATAAATGCAGCAGAAACATAGTAAGATAGATCATCACTATAAACAGAGGGAGCAAACTGCTTTTATATAAAGCTGTTCATAAATAAAGCATTACAGTGTTTTATGAAAATAATACACACAAATCTATTTTTGATTTTCTGTAATGTGCTTTTTATTGGCAACAATCCTTTTTATATGTGTGGCAACTGTTTAAAATTTTAGAGACTTTGGCCTTAGTCCATTGCCATAAGGAACCTTTCCATTGATTTCAATTGACTGATTTCAGTGGATGTCTCTCCTGAAGCTCTTACTTACACTGTGCTCCGGCAAAACAAAGATGGACATTTTTACTGAGGCAGGGCTCAGTGGGAATTTTACCTGTATAAAAAAAATGGGACCGATATGCTGGATAACAAACATGTTACCAACTTGGTGTGTTACTGCATGCTCCTTCTGTATCAGAAATTTTGATTGTGGTCAGGACCACAGGCTTTAAATGGTATAGGTAGGTTGATTTAAAGTCTTGTCTATAATTGTCCTTGTTTTTGGGAATAGTAACTTCAAAGACCTGAGGGATGCTGGGAGTTATAATCTTCAGGAAACAAAGGAAATGAACATATAGGAAAGAACTAGTTTCTGGAAGCAGGTTCTATGGTAGCGTGGTTCAGAGTAAAGACTGCAAGGCCCAACTCTTGAGGGAGTAGGTCCAAAGAAGCCACAAAACAAATCTGACTTCTAGCTCCCCATATCTGACTGCATGGGTCTTGAAATGCCACAGTCTTTCTGTTTTAGTTTTTCCCCTCTCCAGGTGCTTTTTTGAATATGAAGCATCGTGGATTATTAAAAGCTAAATATATTTTAAAAGTTTAATGCTAATATTCATTACTTCTTTAAATTTCTCTCTGCTTAGATTATGAAATCAAAGAAATCAGTTTTATCTTTGTTTTGTCTATGTTTTGCTTATAGTCTAAATCCTTAATTAGAAACCCAGGTCTGGGCATCTGTGAGAAATTATTATTTTTGAAAAATAACCCTTTAAATTGAATTTTAGAACAAAATTATGGATATCTCTTATTGGTCTTTAGCTGTTGTAAAATCAAGCTTTTATGAAAAATATAAGGTTTTGCCCAAAATAAGTCTCTCTCAATGTTGTGTGCTTTAGTTCCCTCAATTGTAAAAAAGGAATAATGAAAATACTTACCTCACAAGGCAGGTGAGGTAGCAGAGCAAAAAAAGATTTGTATGCATTTTACTGAAGGTAAAGGGCATTATATTTCCAATGCCATATTCAGAACATTTTGAAAAAAAAAAATATGGTAAGTAAAGTGTAAGGATTTTTTGTGACGTGGATAGACGATGGGGTGGAGAGCCCGACACTCCCTATGCGTTGGCTCAGATTCTGAGGCAACCTCAGAGTTGGATTCGGGAGGGCAGTGAGCATTTTAACTTGATCCTACCATCCCTTTGAGCCATGGGAGTAACCCCATTAACTTTAACAGTTTAACTCGTGCTTAAAATTAAGCATGTGCTTAAGTGCTTTGCTGGACTTGGACCAATGGGCTAAATGCCTCAAGTTCTACAGGAGCAATATTTTTGAAAGGGACAAGTTAGATTTCAGATGCACAGCAAAAGACTTCCTCACAAGTGGAAGAGACACTAAAAGTAGCCTTCAAAGAAGCCTCATATGAGGAAAGAATGATATGATTTCTTTCCAGCATTCTCATTTGCAGACTGTCAGAAAAGATTCCATGTTTCTTGGGTGGATTTTCTTTTCCTCCCATCCAAAGTCTGACAGCTTTGGCTGTGCCTGACCATGCCTCAGATTGTAGCACTCATGCTGGATGTGGTCTTCAGGAATCCCGAACCAAGCATTCTTAGTTCAAACTTTTGCTCGTTCCCTTCCAATACAGTCATCAAGAGCCTGACCCTCAGTGACTGTGGGACCATGTGGGAGAAAGGGACCATTCAAACAGATTGGGGAGCATTGATTAGTCTAGGGAGCATTTGATAGAGTGAGCTTGAGTTCATGGAAACTTATGTTATATATTTCTGATTTAGTTAGTCTATAAAGTGCAAATTTACCCTGCCTTTAGTTTAGGGAGTTCTGACTTGCCTTGATTACTTGGCTCTCAGTGACAAAATGCTAGGTAGCTGTGGTTGCCTGTTAACATTACTCATTGGTCTGTGTCTCCTCTCTCTCTCTGCCTCTTTCTTTCACACCCTTCGAATAAACAGCGTCAAGTCTTGTTTCCAGAACATGGAGATTTGTAAGCGGCGAGTGAATATGTATGACACAGTGAACCAGAGCAAGACACCATTCATTACACATGTGGCACCAAGCACATCTACCAACCTGACCATGACCTTTAACAACCAGCTGAACACTGTCCACAATCAGGTAAGGTAGTTGGGAACAACCAGAGCTTGAAAAAATAGAGACCCCACAGAGTTCTAAAAAATGGAGAGCAGAGGTGTAGTGCCTCTTTCAATACACACATAGTAAGCTGGTGCAGTTGTACCTCATTTTCTTCCCTGAGCTCTGTCTAGCCTTTCACAAGGAAGAGGTGTAGTTCTGTGCTGCAGTGTGTGCTTATGAAATGTGCTTTGTTTATGCCAGTGTTGAGTATGATAAATACCACTTACCCAGAAAGTTGCTATGGAAAAAAAGCTCTGATAGGTGTGTCTGTTGATGCAACAAGTAGGATTTTGCTTGGTGACAATCAAACAGGTGTATTTGGGATCTTACAATACTTACTCAGATTATGACTATGGTAAAACTAAACCTTTATATAACAAACAGAAGATAAATAAAAACCTTTGTATAACTTCAGCAAAAATAAGATCTTAGAGTCTCCTTCCCTGACAGTTTGGTACTATTCCTTATTTTTATGTATCATTAGCCTTTACAATTCAGGACAGAAGTCCCAACTGAGAAGCACCCCATTGTACTTTACACTGTACAAACACACAGACAGTTCCTACATTGAACACTGTGTAGCCTGCACTAGTTGTGTCTTCTGCTTCTACCTTGGCCTTGTATATCAGCACAGAGTTTCTTCAGTGATTTTAGAAGTGGATGTATGCAGTAGCGTAACTGAGGGGCATGGTTGCAGGAGGAGGCACAAATTGCAGGAAGATGCAAAAATAGCTGTTGCTGCAGAGACAGCTAAACACACTGCCACCATCAGCACAGTGACAGCCTGTGCACTGGGGCTGCCCCAGGCAGAGAGATGCCTTCTGGATGTGTGCAGTGTTGGCATGGCTTAAACAAAAGCAACATAAATGGTTTAACCTAGTATTATAGTCATTAAGGGCATTTATGCACGTGCTCTGAGAGTATGTGGGGGGGGAGGGCGTGCTTTAACTAGAGTGGCTCCAAGAGCCACTCTAATTAAAGGCCCGAAACATCATGCGTATTAGAGTCCCCATGCTGAAAAATGGCAGTGGGGGTACCTTAGTTAAAGTGCCCCCACTGCCATTTTTAAACACAGGGATGCTGATATACATGATACTGGAGTCTGCTGGAGCACGGTAACTACCACACTCCAGCAGACTCGATTAATCTAATTTAATGTAATTACACTGCATTGGAGCAGCCTTGCTGCATGTGTATAGGTGCCCTAAATGGAAGGGTATGCATTTAGGGATAGGACTGTAGGACACTGAGGGTATGGACTGATGAGCAAACTATACTGAGTTAAAAGAGCAGGAGAGGGACAGCTGTTGTATGACAACTTTGTAAGTCGACTCCTATCTTCCAGGAAGTTAAAGCTAAACTGGAGCCACTTACTCCTGCTCCATTCAAGGGTAAGTTGCTCCGGTTTAGCTTCTGCTTACTGTAGGGTAGTAGACACACAGCAAACAGTTGCCAAACAACTGTTTGACATGCAGAAGACCTTCCCTCACTCCCTTTAATTGATAATAATTTATCTGTCCTTATACTGAAGCAAGCTGCAGCTGCCATTCTTTAGGGTTTTTATAGAGCAGATTGCTCTGGGAGTCTCTTTTTGGACTATAAGAAGAAGCCATAAGGGTCACTAATATAATTGTGGAATTGACAGTAACACAGAAATTGAAAGTCTGAAAGACTCTATCCAGGTTTACAAAGTGAAATCCAGATTTCACGCTGGCTCAATTTTCTGTTACTTGTGGTTCGAAAAGGTTAGTAGAAATCGTTCATTAAGCAGAGGACACATCAGTGTATGCAATGGTAGGTCATTTGTTGGTTGTGGTTTGATGTGGCAGGCCATCATTTGTAAATGTTGGTGACCATTCTTTCTTGTCTGCTTTTAGAATTTGGGGTGGAGAGTAAGGTTGCTCTTAAACTTGCCAATTTTCTGTTGGTAACTTTTTCCCAAGCCTCTGGGCTGTGATACCATTCACTATAACCAAACAGCACAAGTTAATTAGACACTGGAGTCTCTCACCTTGTGCCTCACTAGCAGTTCCTTTTCATAAGACCCTTAGCAGAATTAAATCCTGCTTAAGATGAGAAAGAAAAGAAGAATGTGTCCCTGCGTGTCCACTAATTATCGAGGTCTGGGAGGCTCTGCCAGTTATGGTGTTTTCAGTATGGGATTTTCCAAAAAACAGACCCATGGGCTATTTGTCATAGTGATTCCTCTCCCATTGATGGGTTGGGTGTCCAGCTACATTTTATATTTCCATGATTATGTGCCTGTGTGGGTTTTTTTTTTGTTTTAAAGAAAAATACAGCTTTTATATCCTTTCAGTAAAAGGGAGCATGTAGTTTCTATGGGTGGCTCAGTGAAAATTTCTGAATTCTCCTAAAGGTTTTATGTGAGAGGCAGGGCTGATATCTCCAGCTTTCTCAAAGAATCTCTGAAAAATACTTACAGGGGAGGGAGACGCTTCTATTTCTTTGGCTGAGAGGGTAAAACTTTTAGTTGAAATGTTTTCTTCCTACCACTCCCCTTCCCACTTATCCATCCTATTCCTAGACAAGCACCACCCACATGTCCTACTCTCCTCTTTTGGAATGTCTATCAGATGGACAATGAACCCCTACTTGCCCACCCAGTCACAGCATCTATTCTTTCATACAACCAGTCTTGGCTCTTCTGTGTCCACTTCCGCTACAAAATCTCTGGGTTTTGTCTCCTTCCCCATTTGATACTCCTGGGGGTCCCTATGGGAGTGGCTGTGGTTGCTGCTTGGTGTATTGTGTAGAGGAACTCATTCCACTTGTACACTGGAGTGAGGAGGAAGAGGAGGTGGCGGACACCCTTGACTACCTAGTGGCTGTAATGGTGCAGTACAGGTAGCAGTCATGGTTATGGAGGCAGCACATGGCTCTGGTGCTACTGTCTCTGCGGACTTTCTAGTCTTAAGACTTTCCTTGAGGACCCGTGCATGTCCACAGTGTTTACAGTCCTCCAGGGCTGGTTCCAATGTGTTTGTGAGCAGGTGGAAGCAGTGGTGGGAAGGGGGGTTGTTCTAATTTGATACTGTGTTCCCACTGGATCTTTGTTGTTCCCAGTCTCCATGTTGAAGGCACTTTGAGCAGAGTTGGATGAATGGTCTTTGGTCTGTCTCTCTCCTGCAAAATTTTCTCATTAAAGGTTTCAATGTGAAGCCAAGTGAAACTTGGGGCCCTGTAAAAAATTACAGTGAACATTATCAAGTTGCATGCTATCTGGTTTCCTTGAGGCTCAAAGCATAACTTGAGAGGTAGGAAGGGAACATCAACACAAGTCACCCTTTGCTGGGGGAGTACTGAGTTTCACACAACTCTTGAATGGAACATTTTCTGAGGCCTTGTGGTGTATGGGGTGGAGATGATAGCTTGACTGTGAGACCAGTTCCTTCTTGACACACTTTACCTTTTGGCCCTGCTCCCCATTTTCCAGGCTCTGGAGATGCATTGAGATGTGCTTGGAGGCAGCCCCAGTTTGTAGAAACCCTTACTGTTTATGCCTAGCATGATCCTTTTACCCATGCACCCATGTCACCTGTCCTGGCCTCTGTGCCTTCTCATTTTGCTCCTCATTTATTTTGTGTTTGCTGGTTTTACCGAGATTCATTTATTTTTGATTCGCTTCTTCCAACATACCATCTCCCTCATTTTTTGTTTTGTTTAATTCCCATCATTCCTTTAGGCCACCAACCTGGCTCCCACCTCTACCAGTGCCACTATTTCCTTAGCCAACCCTGAAGTCTCCATACTAAATTACCAATCTGCACTCTACCAGCCCTCAGCGGCGTCCATGGCTGCGGTGGCCCAGAGGAGCATGCCCCTACAGACAGGAACAGCGCAGATCTGTGCTCGGCCTGACCCCTTCCAGCAAGCCCTCATCGTCTGCCCTCCAGGCTTCCAAGGTAAGAAACAGGGCAGGTAGTCTCTCAGTTGTTTAATGTACCTCTCATCTATCTACTCCTTCTAGCAAGTATTTCTCAAATGATCTAGATGAGAGAACACCTAGACCTATAGGATTGATCCATGAGAGGGTTGGTTGTGTGATTGTGATGTTTCCTTGCTTTGTTGTTTTTTGCCCCTAGCCAGAGTACTTTGAGGAACCTCTGCCTTATTTGGGTAAACATGGAAACAGGAGAATGTTTTAATAACTACTTCCAAGGTGTCTCAGTGGTCCACTTTCTGAAAGATGGCCCAGCAGGTTAGTGCTATGGAGAGTCAGTTGTGTAGACTGAATATTTGCTCCAGTTGTGAAAGTCAGTGGCTAGTCAACAATGTAGCTGCACCCCTTGAGTTGACAGACATAACCATTATTTGTACAAGTGGAGCTTACCCCTCTTTGAAACCCAAAGAATTTGCCATGGCGCACACTCTCTTTGCTAGGGGTTACGCCCACCTAGTGTAATCACCAGGAGCTGTTAATGGAGAGAGATCTGCAGTCCAGCTAAGACCTGACATTTGGTGCTGGTGGGGCCATATTTCTGAAGTAGCTTTTTCATTTCTCCAGCCCCTTTTTATAATAGGTGCTCTGGAAACAGTAGGTGTGTTTCTTGATGCTCTTAAGAAATAGACAAGTTTTGGTTTACTCCTTTTTGGTCATGTGGTTAAAATGAGGCTGACAACATTTGTCCTGGAAATTAGGACAGTTTAGGGATTAGAGTTGTGGTGTTAGAACACATGACTTTCCACGTAGAGTAGTGGAGGCAGTGTCGGTTGTAGCATGCTAGGCTGGTTGAAGCCTAAATGTCTTTGTCTTCGCAAGAGCTGGAATTTTACGGTAGAATGTAAGAGCTGAACTTTTTTTTCTGGATTTTCATTCTCCTACCTTCATTGTTAGACAGTATGCTCATGCAGTACTGTGTTTTTCTAGCTATCTATGGTTGTTGCCTTTAGTCAAACCAGAAAACAATGGGCTTCATTAGAAAACAAACTATTAACTCCCTTCTTATGAAAGTCCCCCCAGGTGCACATTATAGCATGAGATCTATATTGGGTTTGAGAGAGACCATGCATGCACAAGATTTAGATAAGGTTAATTTCTTAATTTCTTTGAAAGTGTCTTTTTATTTGGCCCTATCATGTTTTGAGCTTGCCAAAGCTGGTAGATGTCACTCTGCCAGGATTTAATAACTAGGAACCTAAGGCCTGATTAACAAAGAGGCAGAGTGCCTGCAGTTCCAGTTGACTTCAGCTAGAGTGGTTAAGTGTTTAGTACCTCTCAAAATCAGGGGGCTGGTCCATGAGCAGCTGCTGATGGCTAAATCTGTACTTTTTCTCCTTATGGACTAGGTTTACAAGCCTCGCCTTCGAAGCATGCTGGGTATTCTGTGAGGATGGAGAACGCCGTTCCAATAGTCACTCAGGCTCCAGGGGCCCAGCCTCTTCAGATCCAGCCAGGACTCCTTGCACAGGTAATTTCCTCTGAAGAGACCTATGCAGAGAAAGTTAAATTAAATGAGAAAGTAGAGACAGTGAAGCTTTCCTTCAGGTCACTCTGACATGGCTTTGCAAGTGGGGCAAATATGTGAATTCTCCAGCTTTCTATGGAGAAGCCATCCTTCCCAGCCTCTCATTCAGTTTGCAGGCCCATTTTGACTCCCAAAAGGCTTTCACAGTGGCTCCACTCTCTTTCTCAACTACATTTTTAGTAGGCTTGATCCAACCCCCTGGAAATTAACAAGGGAACAACAGCATAAGTTGCATCAGGCCCATGCTGAAAATGACTCATTAATGCCTTTTCTCAGCTCTTGGCCTGAATGGTATACTGAGGCGAAGAATTCCATTGGTGCACTGTATGTCATTTAGAAAAGCTGTGGAATAGGAAAGTCTAAGGAGGCAGAGATGAAGGCCAAGACAGTCAAGGAGTACACCAGGTCTGTGCATTTCTTCAGCAGCCTTTACTGGTATGGTTTCTGAGGAGGCTGTACTGAAGATAAATGAATCTCCCACAATGGAAATTCAGAACAGGAGCTGGCACTGACATCACTGCCCTCCTTCAAGGGGCCTCTTAAGCAAGTTTTAATGAATCAAAATGGTTAGCACTTTACTGATTCAGGCAGTATCAGAAATGTCTTCAGCAGAGAACAAATATACTTACAGTGAGGCAGGTGCAAAGCACAACATAGCCTGGAAAAAGTGATCTAGAGGTAATACACTTGCCTATCATAAGATTAGCCAATCTATTGTACACTGGGTAATGCTTGCCTGTTCATCTACATCCAAACACCAGCAAACTTTTACATTCTGCCTATGTTTTGGATTGCCTGGGTAACTTTTGGCAGCGAGTGTGATTGCTTTCTTTGCCAGATGCCAACCCAGTTTATTAGGTGAAAACAGATCAAAATACGAGCTGAAGCCTGTATGATTGTGCATTAGCAAAGTGCCACACCTATTCCCAATAAAAGAGTCTTTGTTATAGAGCTGCCTCTCTGATGTTGACATGCTCTGTGCTCTGAGCCTGTTATAATCTTTAGTGTGGGCCATACATCTTTTTCAGTAGAAAAGGGCATTTTTACATGTGCAAGCACCGCAGCACTGGGTGCTTTTTCAAGCACCCAGTGCTACAACGGTTGCAGTTGTATAAGTGGTAAAATGCACATCAGCTCTGAGAAAATGACAGTGGCATGCTTTTGAACTAAAACACCTTGGACATGCATTAGTGCAAAAGTGCACTGCTAGCACTTTGTGTGCTGGCATGCATTTTGCCACTTGTACAACTGCACATGGCACAGTGCAGTGCAAATCAGCTCTCATGCAGAGCAGACTCGATTAATTAATTCTGCTCAGAAGCAGTGGATCTCCATCGCATCGCTGAATGAAAAAATATGTGTAAAAATGCCTGAAGAGCCTAAGAAACAGTGCAGTGGAAAGATAAAAGGACCGATTTTCAATACTCTGTACAGGAACTCAGTAAATATGTTTCATGCACCAAATATCAGTGTGAAGAAGGCTAATGGTGGTTGATATTGATAGTGCAGTTGTGTATATGTACACATTAGGTCTGTATGAAATTTCGGCAGCCGTTTCATTTTGGAGGTGTTTTGGGCTGTTTCAGCACCCAAAACACCAAATTCAAATCAAAATGGAAGGCTCTGAAACATTTCAGAAATGTTTCGGAGAATTTCAGAGTTTCAGAGCTGGGCTTTCAGGGAAACAGAAATTAGGAAGAGGGTGGGAAGGACTACTCTAATATTGGCATCTAACCAAGGATTAGCGCTTGCTATGTATTCTGTATGAACTATGAATTCCTGAAGATGGGGCCTGGAAAATATCTCCTGGCCCCGAAACCCACAGATGACCTCTGTCTTCAGGAAGGTAGTGTTGGAGGGGTCATGTTTTGTATATCATCTTTGTAGGCTGTTTATTGCAGAAACATGATATGAAAAGTTGGGCAAAATTAGCTGTCTGCAGTCTGTGAAGCAGGTGGTAAAAATAACTTTTAGCCAACCTCACTGGGTCTGTTTTCATGCTTATGAGCAAATGTGTCTATATACTATGCACTGAGACAGGTGGAAAGAAGCTCTGATTCTGGTCTTTGCTAAAAGCTTTGCAGCTTCTTATCAAAAATGGGGCAGGGCTTCACATTTCTCAGGAGTCTTTCTCTGACACAACCCAGATCCCTTCTGTACTCTCCCCTCTTCCCTTTAGAGATTGTTCTGTGTTCCTCCACTTATGTTCCTCCTCCATATTTCCTCTATGCATGGAGGCCTGTCACAAGCCTCTGGAGCTAGTGGTGAATATAGTCCCTCCATTTATGCTATTTGCCTTATGCCACTGAATAGACTTGTCTCCCTTTGTACACCAAATGTCATCTCAAAAGACTTAAATCTAAAGCGTAGTGTTGATTATACCCATGAACCTCACATAGGGTTGAACAGGTATAACTGAGAGCAGACTATGGCTTCAACAGTGGTTTTCCTATTGGAAAGCAGAGTGTACTGTTCTAGTGGATTAGTTCAGGCAAGCCTTTATCTGTAGATTAAGTCAGTCAGTGGACCTTACCTGATAAATTAGGATTTTGGGCCTGGACCATGCACCATATCTATATTTACTTACTACAGTGGGAGAACTGAATCAATCTAGACTTCTTTCCAAGGAAGGAAGTGGTTTTTGTCAGTGAGTAAACTTATGTAGTCCTCTGCAAGTTGGAGTAATGGGAGTTGCAGTCAACTTTTTTAAGCACGAGCTATAAAAACAAAACCTGCCCTACCCTGCATCCACCAGCTTGGCCAACATTAGTTCTTGATTGTAGCACAGTGATGTGAACAGCTGTCTTGTTCCCTGTGACTGACTGTTCTTTTCAACCTGGCTTCTGTAGATGTGGCTGACACATGGAGAGGCCCCACCATACCCGCCCTTTCATCCAAGTCAGCAATGCGGAAAATTCCAAGACAATCAAAAATTGGAGCTGAGCTGGGAAGAGGTTTTAAAGGGTGGGGGTAGCAGGAGAGCAAGGGAGGCCAGAAGGACTATGGACTGCTGTGGGGAGGTGGGGGTGAGAGGGAGTTTCGGAATTTCTCATCAGAGATAATGAGTTCTCCAAGCCTGATCTCTGAATCTGGTTCACGAAGGAACAGAGTGAAATACTTCCATGGTGATATTCTCAACATTTCCAGCTTTGCCCTTTAGTACTGTGGAGTCACACAGTGTAGCCCCACACATTGGTGCTTACAGCCTCAGGGAGGGATATATTCAACACCCCTGTGTTTCATGGCCCAAGCTATGAACGTGCTTGCTTTTTATGTCAGCACTGAAACTGCCTTACTATCACATTGAAGGAATCAGTGACCAACCTACAGAAGATTTATATGACTCCTAAATTAAGTCATCAGAACAAGATGACACTGGGATACAGTCCATGACAGTGTGGATGGAATGATACTTACATGACAATAGGAAGGCTGAGAGTTAAACCCCAGAGGCTCGGTGGCACCAGCTAGAAAGTGCCAGGGAGGGAAACTAGGAGACAAACATGATTTTCAGGCTTGTTTAGTAGATTGCAGTACTCCAGTTTGCTTAAGAAAGCAATGGAGTCAGAGGCTGTGAAGCACATCAGCCCTTTAGGTAAGCACATGAGTGGCTAGACCTGATTTTGTCACTGGCCATAGGAATGAAGCTCCTCATTGACCTTTGTTGGGATTACACATGGGGATTTAGGGCAGAATCCAGCCCACTCTACTTTAAGAACTTAGTTCATATGCAAGTTCAGATGGTAAAGTTGGATTTTTTCAAAGGAGCCTAAGAGAGAATTAGGACCGTTTGATAGAAAAACGGGGTAGAATTCAATGGGATTTGGGCATCCAGCTCCCCCAAGGCACCTTCAGAAATTTCAGTACAAGCCCTGTCTTAGTAAGTAGATAGGGGCTGGGGATAGGGCTGGTCTCAGAAAATGGCAGGGGTCTGTTAACTTTCATTTCAGCACTCAGGAGACATGGGTGGAAGAACCCCAATTGATAGTCTCTTCTAATCACTGAACATAGGGAACATTTTATCTGCCATTGCTTTGAATTCAACCCAGGTCTGTCATCTCTGAAAGTGGCATAGAACCCAAGAGAAGCAGGGCTGGGAAGGACCTCTAGAGGTCATCTAGCCACCCCCCTGCCTGAGGCAGGAGCATTCCTTTGGGGTCAACCTAGCCTGTTCTCCCACTCCAGTTCCCCTTCTTGGGCCTCCTCCTCTCTCGCTGGCTGTACTTTGATGTCAAAAGGTTAATAAATGTCAGCAGGTGCCTTCCGATGCCTGGAGTTCAGCTTTCCGTGCCCCACACTGCTCATCACTAGGCTGCCAGTCAGTTCATCCCTAGCTGTAGCAGGGCTCTCTCTTTCTTGTCTAGGCTCCTCTGGCCCAGCCTGTCTTTCCTACTCATCTGGACCCTCCAGGCCTTTCTCTTGGCTTTAGCTCTAGCTGCCCCCTGGTCCCTGACCCTGGCAAGGCTCTGGACTCCAGACTCAGGCTTATATGGCCCTTGATTCTCCCTACCCTTCTGGTCACTTGTCCTGGTTTGTTGTTAATTGGACCCAGGTGCTCCTCATCCTCTATTCAGCAGTCAAGCGTTCTGGTCCCTGAAATCTGCAGGCTGAGCTCTGCAGCCCACTTGGCAGCAGATGCAGGTATCACAGCTCCTTCTTTGCAAGCTTCATTTGCTCCAAGTAACAGGGGGAAGGGGTTCCCCTGTTACACTGTCCTACATAAATCTGTTGCCCAACCTCTTAGTAAGACTACACAGGCAACTCAGATGCAAGGCATAACACCCTAATGTGCCACAGGTAAAGATTGCTGCAAAGGTTGTTAAAATACACTTGAGAGATCCCAGGAAGAGGGCCTGCTGTTAATAGCTAATAAGTAGCTTCTCTGAAATAAGAGGACATTCTCAGTTTAATTCCCAGCAGTCAGTAGCTACCATCACATTTGACGTCTGTTGACATAGCGATTTCAGTCTAGAAACCAAGCAATGAATGGATGTGATGACATTCCTAGGAGTGGTTCTTCCAAGTTAGGGTGGAGTCGCATTGGAGAGTGGCAGAAGCTTGAAGCACTGGTGTTCAGGCTCTACAACACTACTTTCATCCCCTACGATGTCTAGCCAGACCTTTAATTGGTTTGTAAAGGTTATTCAGATCAGGAAGAAATTACTTGGGTTACCCATAAACCCTTGGCTATAGAGCTTCATCTCCCTGTTTTTCTTGCTTGATGCCCATTAGAAAATACAGCATTCTTTTCACCAGATAGGTTTATAAAGACCAGATGCCCCAGCCAAGTAGTGGGAGGTGGTTCAAGATTAGATTCAAAGACTGGCATCATGTGCCCCATTCTGTAAGGTTGCTTTTGTTATGATCAGGTTGTCTTACGTATGCAACGTAAGGAAGGAAGGAAGGGTGAACACTGAAGGAAGCATAATCAGGAAGTGCTAGATTTTAAAATTTTAACTAAGAAATTATATTCCTCTTATGCATTATATACACATTTTTGTACCTTAATGATTAGCATTATGGATTAATGACAAATTTTCTCTGCCTACGGAAAACACCCCTTCATGAATACCAAACAGAAAAGTGTTGCTTTTCCATGGTGGCTACTTTTCTTATAACTATAGGAGCTAAATAATTATAAGCAAATGTTGAAATTAGAAATGCATTTGCAGTAGGGGGCAACTGCACAAGAAATGCATCTTGTATAAGTTCCTGAGGATCTTAAGCTCCATCTGCCTTGAAATCTTGCAGGGATTTTTTTGGGTACAGTATCCTCCTTCACTTCCTGTCTACAACTATTGGGAAGTGTTACAGGGAACTGTTAAATTATTGATGTATGTCATTCCACTAGTGGATGAGCTAATACTTGTTTATCGTTTGAAAGTTGTTATATAATGGTAAGCTGCTGTCACCAACACAATCTCTTCCTGTTTTCCTTGTCCATAGATTAATCAAAAGCTGACATGAAATGGTCTCTTGCCAAAGGTAGATCTTTAGGTCCTCTCAACTTCAGGGCTTTGCAGTGTTTGAAGCCATTTTCAAACAAAGTTTAAGCTGTAATCCAGTGCACATTTTTAATTTACCCCAGCTCAACAGCATGTTCCACAATGGTTAAAGAAGTTTTGCTGAAGGGTATAGCTTATAGTGGCTAGCTCTTTTTTTGGGTAAAGCATTTCCTGTCAGTCTGAGTGAAAAATGACAGTTGCTAGGATCATGCTTCAAAACAATTTTTAAATAAAGTTCTGATTCCCATGCATATGTTGTAATATAGATGGGGCCCTAGCATTGTTCTCATTTTCAAAGACCTCAACACATCTTCACCCTTTGAAGGTGTTGGTGAAAATGGAGCTTGGTTCCTTAAATCTGTTTGTTTCAAAATCAATTTGCCAACATGAGCATTACATCTTTCGGGCCTTAGAACTTGTTACTGGGTTCCCTTGTATTTGTGAAAAGTAACCAGCTGCTTTCCCTTATGCGACTTGTGTGTATTAAGCCTGACCTGACTGAAGTGAATTCAGGGACAGATTCTGATACTGAAAAGCACATCACTGCAAAAAGTCCCAGGATGTCAGCAAGGCAACCTGTGGAATAAAGTGTAACATACTGAAGTAAAGTTGTGGCCTCAGCCTCATGTGTGTTAGGATTAGAGAGCTAATTCCCTCTGGTAGCATCTAAATCAATTTAGTTTGTACATCTCATAGATTTATCCAGTGCTTCGGAGATGACCCAGTTGGAATTAGTGACCGGTTATATATATTTGGTACAGAGAAGCCTGTCTAATGTCCTGTTCCACATCACAGCTTTCTCTGTCCTGACTCCTAATCTGACTAGACCCTTCCTTCCTTCCTTCCTGTTGCCCTGGCCATGGCCAGTGAGCTGGCACCCTGCTGACACTTCCCCTGCTTCCCGACAGTGACATGGGTTGCTCCTTTGCTTCTCTGCCATGTATGCCTGGGTGGTTCACGTCCGCCATGCCCAGGTGCTGGCGGGCCACCCTGATACACTGTGGCGACAGCGCCTGGGGGATTCCCCACTGGCCCACCTGGCTTGGCACACATTGTATAAACCACCAACCACCAAGAAGTCTGGCGACCTCCTAGCCACTGGCACGTTTGCTTCCCAGTTTGACTCAGCTGCCTCAATGGCCTGCCCCTTCTGCCCCGGGGGCATTGAGGAGAACCTCTTTCATGCCTTCCTCAACTGTCCCCGCCTGAGGCCGCTCTTTGTCACCCTTGAGCCGCCACTGCGGGTGCTGCACAGGAGCCTCTGGGAGACCACCTACGTGTGCTCCTACCTGTACCAGGCAGCCGAGCGGGGCGCTGTCTGCCTGGCTCACTTTCTACTGGGTCAGGCCAAGATGGCTGTCCTCAAGAGCCACTGCAACCGGCTTGCCAGGACCAGCTCAGATGATGCCCTGTGGCCTTTCAGTCTCCTTGTGCAGGTGTGCCTCTCGCTGGAGTTTGAGCATGCTGTGCTCTGGCGGGCAGTGCTCACCTTTGAGGCACGCTGGGTCCTCAAGGGAGCGTGGAGGACGGCCATCATTCAATACGTGCTCTGGTGTCATGCCCCGTCAGGGTAACCAGGCAGGCTCAGTGTCAGACTGCGACTCCCAGCTCGTGCTGTGCCCTGGGACCTCACCAAGCTGCTTTTTTCTGTGTGGGAAGTTGAAGGTGTTGTCACGTGTATAATTGGATAGAGCAGGGTAAGAATCATTTGTTCATAGAGGGCTTTGGTCTATATGACTGTGTGGCCGGTGTCCTGACCGCATAACGGCATGTTAGGCATGACGTGATACTGCAAAGGTGTCTGTCATGGTGTGGTGTTATGAATGTAATGGCATGGTGCTCTTGTTTTGGTGGTAATTTGTTTGTCTTTGCTTTGTATATTGGACCTGGACCCCGGAGGGGCCAACTTTTTCTACCCCAAACCCCTGAATAAAGTAGTTAAAAAATCAAAGTCCTTCTTTCCTTCTGCCCTCTGAGCCCATTTTTCCATGTCATCTCCCTCCCACCCTCCCTCTGAGCTCATCTTTCCATTCCCCTGTCATCTCCCACCCTCCTGCTGCCTCTTCTCTTTCTCTCGCCTCCTCCCTTTCAAGATTCCTAATCTTTTTTTTAACCTTAAACCTTTCTTCCTTCCCTTATTAAGATTCACAAACCACCTATTCCTTTTCCTGACTTCCAAGAGCTCCTGTGTTCTAATACCATTTTGCTGGTGTAGCAAAGAAGGAAATATTTCTGAGTTGGCAGTCTCTCTGCTGGCCTTTGGACAGTAGTTTTGTTCCAATCCTTGCAGTCTTTCGGCTTTCCCGGCTCAGATGTTTCTCAGGTATGTTTGACTGCACCTTTAGGAGGCCTTGAAATGAATGAAATGTAAGGACACCCTTCACTTGTAATATAAGCCACAACTGCTGAGGGCCCAAGATACAGCTTTTCTGCCTTTTCAGAAATGCAAGTGATAGGAGAAAGCATGGTGAGATTGCTGAACCCACCTGGCATATAAGGACTAAAATAAAAAGATCCAGTTCCATTTGATATTTGGGTTGAAGGTCAGGCCAGCTCTCATTTTATTTTTTCCTGAGCCTAACTGTCCTATGGCTGCATCCCTTTGAATGAATTATCAGGAATTTTTCTTCTGCTTCTCTTTTCATCTATCTTGATCATTATTTTGCTATAGTTTCCAAGGGCATTTGCAAACTTCGAATGAAAAGTATTATGCAAGAGCCAGGTATTCCTATTTAAAGTCTGCCTTAATGTGGACCAGCATTGTCTGGTGATTCATGTTAAGAACAAATTTCTCCTCTGTTCAACAGCAGGCCTGGCCTAGTGGTACTCAGCAGATCCTGCTCCCTCCAGCCTGGCAGCAACTGACCGGAGTAGCTACCCACACTTCAGTCCAGCATGCAACCGTCATCCCAGAATCCATGGCAGGAACCCAGCCACTGGCAGACTGGAGGTAAACAGGAAACCTCTGAAGAATTTGTTTGAATATATGCGAGAAGGTTTGAATATATGTCTGAAGGTTTGCTGATATCTCAGATTGTGTATATGTGTGAATATTGAATGCGTAATGTCTGTGGCTTTTGCGTGGACAGTCACTGTCAGAGCATTTTCAGGCACATTGAAACTGTGTGCTCTTGGTCATCCTTGATGAAACGTAATCATTGTCACTTGCCCTATGTTGGTTTTTAAAAGAAAGCCAAAAGCAACAATGTTGTGGCTTGTGCCAGAAAATAAGACATCAATATTGGGTCAGAACATCATTTTTTTTCCCCAGGATGGTTTTTCAGCTGAAAAATTTGTGGGCAAATGATGTTGCATCATCAGGCTGTCTCCTCTCCTCTCTGGAGACTGTAGAGATCATCTCTGTACTGAACCTTAGCTGGAAGAGTGGCCTGGTGGTCTGGGCCATAACCAGGTGATCCACGGGGCATTGATTGTCCCCTCTGGGTTAGTATCTTAGCACAGCATTTCCCAACTTTTTTCGCCCCATGGCACACTTACCTAAATAAAAAAGCACTGCGGCACACTGGACATGGAGCTGAAGGGGAGGGAGGGAATTGGTGTGCGGCCGTTCAGGCACTGACAGGAGTGCGGACAGCAGTAGTGCATGGCCAGCTGGATGCCGACATGGAGGGCTGGAGCCACACTCCCTGTCTGTCTGTGTCCGCAGCAGCAGGAGCAGGTGGGGGGTGTGGCTCCAGCCCAAAATGCTGTAGTACACCGGTTGGGAAATGCTGTTTTAGCATAAAGCATGGTGACCTGTGTTATACTTTGATCTTAACAATTGTCACTAATGCTTGGGACTTGAAGTCTTCAGTATAGGCTCTGAGTTCCCTAAGTTTGTGTTTGTAAGGCCTCTGGCAGAGGTTAACACAATGGCACAATTGGGGTTGGAGAAATGTTATGGCCCATCCCAAACAACGTGCCATCTGCCTTGCTAGATGTGCATGAGGCATAAAATTTCTCCAGTCCCAAGTGTGCCACTGCTGAGCTGCCTCCAGTCTAGTCCTGCAGCTCAGACAGGGTGGTTTTGTCCCAGATCCAGGGCTGTCCCCACCCCCAGCAAGTTCCACCCTAGAGCTGTGTGGGCCAGCTCCAATAATCAGCTGATTATAAGATCCAGCCACAACAGTCCTGACTCTAGTTTGAGACCTGGGGCTGTCCATAGCGGGTCCAACGATCTGCTGACTGCTGGCCCAGCTCTAAGCCCCAAGAGTCCCATTTCCAGTTTGACACCCTGAGCTGTTGGGACCAGGTCTGACAATCTGCTGATTGTCAGGCCTGGTCCCAGGACACCCCAACTGCATGCATGGCTTTGAGAAGTCGTGGACACCGGAAACCCATGACTGGGGAGCCTTTCCCCCATCCCAGGGTCCCTGTGTTCCAAGATATCTAAAAACCATGTGTTCAGCTCATCTACCCACAAACCAGCATTTTAAAATGCCTTGCCCTGTAACCCCCACAGGGGCATGAGGGTTGCCAGGTTCCTGCTGGCTAGAGCCTTGGGTCCCCCTCTCTTCCCCTCACCATCAGGGAACCCTGCAACTTGCTTTTCCAGCAGCTGATATTTGGCATCTGGACTAGGGCTCTCCCAGTTCCTATGCTGACCCCCATGTCCATGCTGATGCTGGATATTTTATGGAATATCTTTGTGGCTGGTTTGCCACTTATGGTGCCATAAATTGGCTGATCATATAGCACTGTTACTATTTATGGTACAATTAATACATGAATTGCTCCATAATTGTCATGTGCACCAGGGGTATTAAGTCGCATCAGAAAAAGGCATGAAAGTCTTCCCAAAGAAGAGATGGTTATCAGGTTGTGTGGGGTAGATACTTACGTACCAAACAGCTATCAAAAAGGAAAACACTGTCAAAATGGTCAAAGAACAATGAGTGTGTGTGCGTGTCTGTCTGCCTGTGTGTCTGTTTTGAGGTACAGATGACAGTGGCTTAGGCTGATGGCACATCTACACACACGTCCACCTGCACAGTTGTTACTGCTCAGTCATTTAGTACTTGCTTTAGCAATAAAGTGCTAAAGTACTAAATGACTTAGTACTAGATGACTGTGCAGTAACTGCCGGTACTGCGGAGTCCTGGTGCTGCATGGTTTGTTTCCAACTCTATTGTGCAGTAGCTTGTTGCTACTGTGCAGTAGAGATGGTATCACAGTTTGTGCCCATTGATGCTATGTTGCTGGTCCCAAGCTCAGTTCCTTGTTCTCCAGGCAGGGAGAGAGTATGAGAACTATTGAATCAGTGTTTAGATCTAGGGAGGAGAAGAGACCTATATCACTCTTGAGTGTTCCCTTCAGGCAGTGAATCCAGTTGAACTGAGTGGCTCAAGCAGGACATGGGTTCAAAATATGTATCGTATATGCATCTTCCTCAACCTTTCCCCACTTCTTCCTATCCAGAAAAGAAAATAAAGCAAAGCAAAGGAAACAGCCTTCACAAGGTAGAAAAACAAACAGCCAAAATATGATGCCAGGGCTGGAAATGCCTGAAATCTCCTTTAACTGGTGGCATTTGAGGATGGTGGTAGCCAGTGGATACACAAACATTTTAAAGTCAGCTCTCTCCTCCCTCTTTTCCTCCCTCTTGCAGAAACACACATGCTCATGGTAGCCATTATAATCCCATCATGCAACAGCCTGCGCTTTTAGCTAGTCATGTGACCCTTCCAGCAGCTCAGCCGTTGAATGTGGGTGTGGCTCACGTCATGAGGCAACAGCCAACCAGCACCACTTCCTCCCGGAAGAATAAACAGCACCAGTCATCTACAAGGTAAGTGGGGAAGAACCTAGTGGAAACCTAAAGACCCCCCACCCCAGTTCAAATTCAGTGCTGTCAAATGGTTGTGCATATATGTATGGCAATGGCAAAAATGCTAGGAGGTGAATCAGGACTGGGAACGAGGTACTTCTTTCAGTTAGAGGGCTTAAAACCATATCTACGCAGCCAACTTTATCATGCCTGGTAGTGAAGGTCTCAAGCAGGCCATGCTGGAGGAGCATCCAGGTGGGCTAATTAGTGCTGCAGAGTGACAGTGCCAATTAGCCCACCTCCCATGCTAATCAGCTTCTGGTGCTGCATGGCTGTTTCCAGTCTGCATGAAGCAGCACAGCGTACTCAAGGGTACCATTGGCAGGCACTGGAAGTTTACCATGTAGAGCTGGCCTGATTCTTCTCCCTTGTTCACTTGCGACAATCAGAAGTAGGTGGAGCTGAACCCATGTCAGAGGGAGGAAAATCAGGACCATCATGCTGTGAATCTTCCTCTCTTCGCTCTGTAATAGGGTACCACTCTGCTTCCTCTGAGAAAGGCAAAGTCACTCCAACAGAAGTCTGTGAAACTGTGCCTGTTTAAATCTAGTAAAGTGATGTCTTGGCAGAATTAGTGGATATTGAACCACTTAAAAGCCCCACTGCTTCCACTTCAGTGAATATATATAGAATAGAATAGGTATAAATATAACTGTATGATGGCATTGGGTGGCATAAAATTTTAATGCCATGCATTTGGGATGACCATATCATTTGTGAGTGATAGAGCCACAAATGACTTACATGAGTCTCCACAAATTACTGCCAATCAAAAATCTTGTTACCTGTCCCCTGCTCCCAGCTCATGCATGCTCTCTGTTGTCTGTTTATACATTTCTTTCTGGTGTTTTTTGTTGTTGTTGTTGGATTTGTGGGGACTGTGGGGGCAGCACTGAAATGCAAACACGGCTGGTATATGGATAGAAGAGTTGCTTATTGACATTCCCAGGCACAGAATAGTTTATTCCATGGCCTGTGAAATTCTAGATTGTCATCTTGGTGCCTGGGGTTATTTTTTTATAATATATTGGTATTGTGGACCTGGTTATCTGCTGTCATGTGCTTGTGCACTTATTTACACCACTGCAAAAGGAGCATACAATTATGGTTTTCTGTGTTTAATGCACAATTTGCACTCAGTGTGCACAGGTAGAAATGACTGGGCAAGGTTGAAGAGAGTGGTGACAGACCCTGTGAATTTAATACATTGCATATAATATATATTATGTAACAGTGCAGTGTTTAGCATAACTAAAAAAGAAACTGCATTCTGTTCTAACATACTGCACCAGTACCTTCCAGTCTCAAAATTTCTGCAAAGAAATGGCCTGACTTCTTCCTCCCATCTGGTTGCAAAGACATTCCATCGAATGGTCACTTTTCCTCACCATTGTCATTGGCTCAAGGGGCAGATTCTCAGCAGTACACACCTCAGATATGCACCTAGAATGTGTCTGTGCAAAAGCAACCAGATGATTGCATGCACATAGGTTCTGTGGTCCAGGAATAACACTCACTGCAGTACAGGGAGCAAATGTAACTTTGTACCACCTTCCTGTCCTCCCCATTCTAGAAATAGCCCAGTCTCTGGCATAATTAGAGTGGTCACCTTGTTTGTACACCCAGCTTATGCTAGCTATGCATGTCCCAAGGGGCCATTCTGACAGTTGGGAATCATGAAGGCATAAGAATACCACCTGCATCAGGATCTGAAGTGGGAGGTGGCATAGGAGCCATTATAGAAATTCTGTGTTATCCAAAGATTCTTGTATATGAGAAAGTTCCTTAAATGGTTGAATCCATCAGCTTTATGGCCATTTTGCTTTGCAGTAGCAGGCGGGTTCAGTTTTAGCCCATAATATGTAGTTACATGACCAAAATGCAGGATGCAGAATGTGGTCACCCCCTTGCTCATCTCTGCAGGGAAAGGGGGAGGCATGCTGATGAGTGGGGGTGTTTGTGACAAATGTGCATGGCTGCTGCTTGTGCTTACCTTGTCAAGGGACAGAGCCCTGAGGTCTTCAGGGCAGCACCTTCAGTTTCAGAGTTTGGGGAAGAAAAGGGGACTTAAAATGGGGTGGATGTATGGAAGGGGAAAGATTAGAAGGGCTTCCTGTTTCCCTGGGTGACCTGATTGGGGCCAAGGGAACTGCACTGAATTCACAATCAGTACAACTCTGGTTAAGATGCCACTTGCTTAAAATCCTTCCTATTTATCTGCTTTCTCATGTCTAATGTTTCATTTACTTTGGGCTGGTTCCAGCTGCCTTGGCCGATCCATAACGCAGAACAGAAGCAGTTACAACCCAACAAGCCAGTAAAACAGGGAACATATCACAGTGTATTTGGACATGCAGAGTCTCTCTGCCGTCCCTTCCTAGCCCACCCTGCATGCAGGGTGTCTGCGACAGAAAAGGAATTGGCCGCTTTCAAAGCGGCTGCTTTCCATGGTCCTACATTTTTCTATTATTTGCGATGCTTTTGTATCCAAATGAGGAACGTGCTCCTTTTGAGAGAAGGGTACTCCGTGTTTCTCATTGGTATTCAAAAAGCACTGCAAATGCTACGGTGCAGTCATTTGTTATGCAAAAGACCCTGTGTAAGTCACTGTGCTGTGATATGTCCATAATTCCTGCCTTTGAATACATTACCTATTCCTTTTGCTAGCTTTTAGGCCAAACAAAAATGCAAACAAAACTTGCCTGCAAAACAGAACTAGAACCTTTGCTTTTTTTTTTATTTTTAATCTGAAAATGTTCTGTTCTGAGCAAATTTAAATAAAAATGAAAAGGCTTTAGAAAATAATGATATGGGTACTAGTGAATGTGCACTCCTTTTTCATTCAAGTGCTCTCTGTTGTATTCACCCTTTCATGGGTAGGTGCCATGTTTAGGCAACTGATCCAAATCAATCCCCATTCTACTGTCTGTGAAGAGGACTGAAGCAGGAAGGCAGAAAAAGAAGAACTTGAGGATGTTTTTCTCCTCTGCTGATGGCAGCTGTTCCCATTTACTTCCCCTTTCACACAGACATCCCCCAGCTTTGCTGCTCACATCAGAACCAAAAGGAACTCAGTGGGTTTCCATCTGGAACACCTCTGTTTTGCTCCATTGTGTTGGAAAAAAAAATCAGTTCTTTCTTAATATTTCATTTCCAACTAAACAACATAACGAAAGATGTCTGCTCTCAGTGCTACCTTTTGATTCTTTGTGAAGAGTCAAAATATTTTGGCTGAGAACCTAGCCCCAGTGTAGCCTGTGAAGTGTAGTTTAGCCAGAAAGCTCAGCATATAGAAGAGAAGGTGGAGCATGAGGCACTCAGGCTGGAACTCCCATTCTTCTACGTATGCTGGGCTCCCTGGCTGGCCTGCATCTCCCAGGATACCGCAGGGTGAGGGATACCCATGAGATACCACAGCAGTTTTCCAAATGGCAGTAGTGCAGTTTGGGGCAGAATTTATTTGTTTCCTGTTGAGTTTCTACCCATTTAATCAATATTCTCCCCCAAATGGGGGTGGGAGAGAAATAATTTTCAGCCAGCTGTAATGATGAATGATATGAGATGTTCCCCTCTTCAAAGAAGTGCAGTTATCTGAGCCCCACAAGCCTCAGAGCAAGAGAGACTGAACAATCCAGAGTCATTGACATTGTGGCAGTGGGGTGATCCGAGGTTTCACCAGCTGGTTGTCTTTTTTGCTTTCAGAAATGCATCCACCTATGAGGTGTCATCGTCCCAGTCCATTAGCTCTCCTCAGCGATCGAAACGAGTGAAGGAGAACACCCCCCCTCGCTGTGCCATGGTGCACAACAGCCCTGCCTGCAGCACTTCTGTCACGTGTGGGTGGGGTGATGTGGCTTCCAGCACCACCCGGGAGCGGCAACGGCAGACAATAATCATCCCAGACACACCCAGCCCTGCAGTCAGTGTCATCACGATCAGCAGTGACACTGATGAAGAGGAGGAGCAGAAGCATGCACCCACCAGGTGAGCAGTGTCTTTGCACCTCAGTGCGGGTTGAGGGTGAGGAGCAGCATGGGCTCTTACATCTGAATGAAGTTGCAACTCATAAACCGGTGGTATGCAGACAACCTGTCAGTGGGACGCATTAACAGATGTATTATAATTACTTTGTATGAGAAAAATTTGCTGGTAGTACTTAAGGTTGTATCAATTTAAAGTGGTGGTGTGCAATCTGTCAGAGTTTGGGAACTGCTGATTTAGATCATACGGTTCAGTAGTAGTAGGCTGACCATATGTCCTGGATTGGCCGGGACAGTCCCAGATTTTGGAGGCTGGTTCCAGCTGGCTGGTGGAAATTAAAACAAGCGCCCTGGGCCTGGAGGCACAGTGGAGCAAAGAGGCAGAGCAGAAGAAACTGTGAAGTAGGACACTCTATTAACACTAATTGTTACTTCATAGGTGATTGTTAACACCTGTGAAGTAAAGACATAAATGGGCTATTGACTCCCTGCAGCGGAGGGGGTAGGGAGGGGCAGGCAGGCAGCATCCCAGATTTCACATTGTCCCATATAGTCACCCTAAGTAGTAGGCTCTCTGTAGTCTGAACCAACAGTGGTGTACTCTCCCTGAAAGTCTGTCCAAGAAACACTTGGATAGGAAGGATGATCTAGTTGTCAGTGCATGAGCTTGGGACTGTACATCCCTAGATTCAATTCCTTGCTGTGCCACAGATTCCCTGTGTGGCTTTGCAAGACACTCATCCTCTCTGGATCTTAACTCCCCATCTGTAAAAGGAAGATAATCGTCCATCTTTACTTTCTTGGAATGTTGCCAGGAAACATTGTAAAGATTGTCTGGGGCTTATGTGAAGCTTATATTCTACAGAAGCAGGAGCCATCTAAGTACCAAAAATAGTTAGATGGAGCAAAACTGTGGGGAACTAGGGATATTTATACATGTGTTCCAGGAGGCAGGGGGAGGGGAGGTGCTTTAATTAGTGCAGCTTCAAGAGCCGCACTAATTAAAAGCACCTGAGTGTCACATGTATCATTATCCCCACGCTAAACAAATGGTGGTGGGGTGCTTTGAACTAAAGTTCATTGAACAAGCTTTAATTTAAACCACCCGGCTGCCATTTTTCAGTGTGGCGATGCTGATTTACGTGAAACTGGAGGCTGCTGGAGCATATTAATTTCCACACTCCGATGTGTTGGAATTACAGCATGTTGGAGCAGGCTCCCTGCATGTTTATAGGAACCCTAGGAGTTTTGGAGAGATATGTCAAGATCCATTTCTCTTTCCAAATCATGAAAAAAATACAAAGATGGGAGAACATCAAAATCTGTCCAGCCCTCACTATTAGTCGAGAACAACAATAGTATAGGCCAGATTATCTTCCACCTATTAGACAGCTGATGTGATCCTATTCCATGGTATTCCATGATGTTTTCACTGGTAGTAATAAAAGCCATCACCACATTTGGAACTACTTTGCAAATTTTAGGTGACCTCAGCTAAAAGACAAATGAGTGGACTATGAAGACTGAATTTCTCTTTCATAGAATTGATCCACCCAAGCCAGAATGAACAGAGTGGTGTACAGAAGCTGCCACTGCTGTTCTTGTTCTGTAGCTAAAGAAAGGGTGTCATTCACCGACAGTGTCTCTTCAGCACCTATTGTCACATGCACAGACTCAAAGCCTGAGTACTCAAGATTCCCCACCTGATGCCAGTTACAAGATGTCATTCTGTTTTAAGAACTGTAGAGCAGAAGTAGTCTTGTAAATAGCTGAATAATTATAGCATCTTTATTATACTAATTCAGCTGGGAATTCTCTTAACTCCATCCCTTCAATAATGTCAAGATAAAGTTAAAGCTTTTCTATTTAGAACATGGTTCATGGCAGATTTGTCTTTAATCTGTATCTATCTATATCTTTGAATCTTTGTGCTGTGGAGATTATTTGTGGGGTATAGAAAATATGTACAGAACAGATGAGATGATTCTTGCCTCAAGGAACTTAAACCCTGCATAGAGGAACCAAATAATTTAGGTACATAGGGCTTTATCTAAAGACACACCAAATACTTGCAGATGACTGAAAGATCACAGAACTGTGCAGTATAGTTTCATTAAAATATATATATATATATAACACACCTCTGTTTATGGTTTGGTTGGCTCACAAAAGAAGCATATTTTGAGAGAGGATTTGAAAAAAGTCAGAGTGGAAACTAGGTGCTTTAGAAAAAGAACTGCCATTGTGGGTATTATGAACAACGATATAAAAACAGGAATGGATCGTATTTTGTGGATAAAGAGAAGGGGAAGATGAAGATTCTGATTTTTGATGATATGGAGGACAGTGGGATTCTCCAGAGTGGCAAATAGCTACGGAGAAAAGGTGCACCAAATTGTCTTCTGGTTTGCATGACATGGGAGCATGGTGGTGATGTGTCAGGGAGGTAGAAGAGAGAGAAGATGGGGAAGAAGAGGTCAGAGAAGGTGAGGCAAAGGTTGAAGGCTCAATATAGAAGTGGTAGCCAAAGTCAGAGTGTATGAAGTTAAAATAGAAGTGAAAATAAAAAAAGGAGGCAAAGTAACCCTGAGAGGCATTAGCAGAGCTGCTGGAGGTGGAGCTTCTGACAAGGAGATTGGAAAAGGGGGACAAGGGCCAGCGTCACAGGAAGAAAGGAAGGAGTGAGTCTTGTATGAGGAAGTTACCACCAGTGAATGCATTTGTGAGAAGAAAGTCAACTCACTTAGGGCCTTTTGGAATGGCCAGATCTAAGCCAGATATTCAGCTGGTATAAAACAGTGTGTGTAGCTTTCCACATTGTCCAGTTTACCTGTAGCATGTTGTCTGAATTTTGCTAACAACTTTTCCCTTAGAAAGAGCAGACTGCAAGTTCAAGATATGCTTTAGCAGGAGACAGTGGCCAAATATACAGGACTGTGAATGAGTCTAAAACTAAATTGTATTAATTCAAAATTGGGCAGATCATTTATTTGCCTCATTTTTATGTGTGCACGTTAGCCTGGTGTGTGGTAAAGTGCACTGTTGGTGAGAAGATGACCAACAGATTAACCTGACACATGTTATGGACAGTGTCATATTATATATTTTAGTCAAATGTTAGATATAATATGACCTGGTAATTCATTAGATGAGTAATAACTGAGGACCTTTAAAGTCAACAGGATCTTCTGGGATAAAACCTTAAATTTGATTCATGATTTTCCTTCATTCCACAGCAATAGAAAGTTTTGTTTGGTTTTCTTTTAAAGAGAAGTTGCAGTTGCCCATGGCTGTACAAAGAGATGAATCTGTAGGGGATGGAAATGTTATATCCAAGCTTTGAAAGATTGGTAATATTGGCATGAGCAAAAGTTTTGCCTCTACATATATTGGATTTAATTGTCATTTACACTAGTGACTAGTGTTGAGTGTTCTTGCAGAGTAAAGAAGCATTAACATGGCAGCTTACTCCTACATAATGCACTTTTACAGTGCCAGAGCATTACAAAGTGGCTTTCTAGTAAAGTAGAATCATGCCCTTTATTAGTAAATGAGAAAGCAGAAGCATGCTCTGTGATATGGGAAGAATTTCTCTCTTATCTAATGGAAAACATGTATGTGAAAGGTTGATGAGATTGGCAGGCTGTGGCACTGACACCGCAGGACTTTGGTCTATACTTGCTTGTGTGTATTTTTACATTGTTGCTGTGAGTAGCTTTGTAACCCTTCAGAAATGAACAGACCTTTAAAACTGTTGTTAATCCTCACAGTCACATTCCCAGAAGCAGCAGGACTCTGCAAAGCTTCCATGCAAAGTCCTATGGCTCTTTGGAACTGTTTTGTTTTTTTTAAAAGAGAGCCACCTACTGGTGTTTGATGTTAACAGCCTTCCCAGAAATCCCCTGAGATAGCCCGAAGAGTAAGTATTGTACCATGCCATGACTTGTGAACTGGCCAGAACCTTTCAGTGACATGTCTTTCCAGGTCAAAACCAACACTTTTTGGTGGGAAATATTTGCTTTTGACTTAATTTCCCACTCTCTCTCTATATATAATATATAAAGTTCAAAACTGGTTTACTTTGATATTTTTTACATAAACCCATCTTGTTTCCCTGTTTGCAGTGGCTTTTCATTTCAACATGTATGCTAATTATATGAAAATACATTTAAAGTTTATCAAAATATATTGATATTGTGATTGACTTCCACAATTTCCCCCCTCCCTTTTGGAGATTTTGATTTTGTCCCATACTGGGACAGGAATATTTTTTGAAATCTTCAGAAATGTTCACAGGAGGAAGAACTCTTTCCCAACCAGATCTATTCACCACCAAGAGATGTCTAAAAAGGCATTCCTTATCCTTACAAAAAAAAATCTTTGAGCTCAACTGCTTTAGGCCAGGAAGATGTCGTATGCTGCTGCTTCTGGAGAAAGGAAGTTTCTATTTTAAAATATTCCAGTACCATGACAGTTAGGAGTCAGACAGATGGACAGACTCAGAGGCAGGGAGCAAAATAGCCACCAGGTATATAACCTCTCTGCATCTTTTGACATTGTGCACTTTTCTATGTATAAATCCTCACTTGGTTACATATTTCTGAAGCTTACGGGAGGAAAAAAAAAAGAAACAACAACTTAAATATAGAACAGAGGCACAAATGCTTCTTGGGATGAATAAATTATGGATATACGTGAGTGAGAGAATGTGTGTGTTCATGAGTGAATGACACACGGGCCTGGGCCAGCAGTAATAGCAGCAGGAGGTATAATTTCACATGCTGCCAACTCTAGCGTAGCAGAGCATGGCAGGAAGAAGTGATTGAAAGGAGGGCAGGGAGGAGATGCCCTTTGTGACTTTATAGTTAAAAAACAAAACAAAACCCAGGAAAAAAACCTCCCAAACCTCATAACAATGTTCTAAAACCAAAACATGGTTGATGCCTTTGCTTAGGACAATTTAAAAGAGAATCAGAGCAGAGGTCATACCCCTCCACCTCCAAA